TATATAGTCTCAACTAATATATAAATAATATATATATGTGTGTGTGTGTGTGTGTATGTATGTATGTATATATATATATATATATATATATCCATATATATGTAGTAAGTAGGGGTTTTACTTATGACCTCGCATATTACAGCTATTCGGATTGTTATCCATCCGTGACCTATCATTAGCACTCCCACTCAGTAGCCTTGCCACCCGTCCCTTCGCCTGATAGTTCTGTACTTTATTCTCCCCTGACAGCTCTGAAGACATATTCCTTGAGCTGTTTGGGGATGCTGAGCCTTCGTGGTGGCTGGACTCGTCCCGGTATGAAGCGGGATTGAGCCGATTCTCATTTATGGGCGATGGACTGGGTCCTTACAGGTAGGTATACATCGCAGGCACACTGTGGCTGGCTGCCACAGGGCTTTACTGGATGTGTGGGGGAGAATGCATTTGCAGACTACTGCAGACCCACGTGGTTGGTATATGTATATGTATATGTATATGTATATTCATATATGTATATGTATATGTATAAAAATTTATATACGTTTTTCTATATGTACTTGCTCTATATATATATATATGTGTGTGTGTGTGTGTGCGTGTGTGTGTGTGTGTGTGTGTGTATGTATAGGTATATATATATATATATATGTTTACTTAAATCATCGGAGATGGATTGTTGTACTGTGTAGACATTTTCTGTTCCGTGAACTACTGCACCTTTCCCGCGAGAATTGGCTCGTAGAGTCGACCCATTGCCAGTGTAGACATTGACTACTGTTCCTTCGCACAGTGACTGTTGTGCCGTATTTATATATAGTTATTGTTATATCGAAAGAATGAGGTTTGAGTGAGGTTTGATGGACCATATGAAGGAAGGATAGGCTGCCCTTTGTTAGATATCAATAAACCATGTATGGCACAGGAGATCTTATATAGGTCTATGTATGATATCTATTTAATGTAATACAATATCTATGACATAGTAGATCATATATATAGTCTATGATATCTATATAATATACTGCAGTATCTATATAATATAATATAATATCTATGACACAGTAGATCAAATATATGGTCTATGTATGATATCTATATGATATATTACAATATATATGACACAGTAGATCAAATATATGGTCTATGTATGATATCTATATGATATAGTACAATATTTATATACTATAATAAAATATCTATAACACAGTAGATCATATATATGGTCAATGTATAATATCAATATGATATAGTACAATATTTACATATTATATTGCAATATCTATGACACAGTAGATCATATATATGGTCTATGTGTAATATCAATATGATATAGTACAATATTTATATACTATAATGCAATATCTATGACACAGTAGATCATATATATAGTCTATGATATCTATATAATAACATACAATATCTTTAGTACAAGAGTCAACCGCAGTTATCGAGGGTTAGTGCATGCTCTGTCATGCACTGGCAGTCTCTGCTTCACGTTGTTTGCGTAAGCGTACGAGATTTTTAACGGACTGGTCACTATTTGGCGTTTTACACAAACTCTAGCGTGTGTCTGTACGTGTGACATTCTACTATTAGCAAGCACCTGATCCTTGATGTTCGTACTTGTACTCGTTATGTGCTCGTTATCATACCACATGCCACTCATACTCTGCCAGATTACATTCTTAATCCGCCACATGCCACTCATACTCCGCCAGATTCCATTCTTACTCCGCCGCATGCCACTCCTACTCATTCACAAAAAAAGCCAACTCACTCTCCGGCCCACATGATCACCTATTTCACTCTATCCCATCCACGCGCCACGTCGTAACCGATTAGGGTCAACTAAACCCCTAAACCCTAACCTCCTACCACTGGTCAACTAACCCCCTAAACCCTAACCTCCTACCACTGGTCAACTAACCCCCTAAACCCTAACCTCCTACCACTGGTCAATTAACCTCCTACCACTACACCCACAGCGAGACTCTCAAGTACGAGGTCAGCACCCGCACCGTCGCCATCGAACACACTCAACAACACACACAGCCGGCATGTACACTCGGCACATACGCACGCACACACACACACACACACGTGCAAGGCTGTGTGTGTGCGGACGCATGCATGAACCAGCCTCGCGCAGACGATGGCGTGCGTGTGTGCACAGTGCCGCTGAGCGATGAAGAGTGCTTTCTGCAGTTTATGAACGACCGCATGGACACGCACCACCGCGTGAGCGAGCACTGGGATTACATGGTGTGTTATGTGTGTATGTGTTGTGTGTTATGTTTGTATGTGTGTAAGATGCGTGATATGTGCGTATGTGATGTGTGTATGTGTGATATATGTGTGTATGTGTGTGCGCAGGCTGATACCGATTCATCGGACGCCTGCGATATTATGTGTTGCTGCGCGTGGTGTGGTTGTGGTTGTGGTGTACATACTCTATACAGACTGCTTCTTCTTACCTATTGCTTTGAGTACTTTAATACTTATTGCTTCGAGTACTTTAATTCGATAGCACTTGTTTTGCCTCTCATTTTTTTTCATAGTCCTTGATCGGTGCGTCTGACAGTTGTTTACGTCCCTTTGCATTATAGACGCATGAACCGATGGATGTGGAGACGATCCCTTTCGAACTGCACTGTGGATATGTGGGGTATCTCGGCTACGAGTTAAAGGAGGAGTCCGGGTTAATGGGTATGCCATATATAACTATATGTTTATGAGTGTATATATATATATTTACATATATATATTTATATATTTATATATACATACATACATACATACATACATGCATACACACATATATACCTACATACATTTGCATACATATATTTTTTGTATACATATTAAAAAGTGTGTTTTATGCACTTATAAAAATTACATTATCAGACCATCGTGAACTATTTCAGTTCTGACCATTTCCGTTTTGTGCTGTTGAGTCATAGAGTGCACTGTAAATCACCCAGCTGCTGTCGCGGAGATATGTGTGATTTGTTACATGCCTGTTACTACCTACTTCTAATATCTGGACAATTCTTTGCTTTGTATGATTGTTGTATGATGACTTGGCTTGGCCATGCAAATCCGTGATAGGAAGTATGGGGATGTGGCGGGGGTGGTGTCAGTACTACCCTACGCCAACTCCAACAAGTAGTCCCGAACTGTGGCACTGAAGCGGTGCTGATGTTCTAGGTATCAATAAGCTTCTTAATCGGCTCGTGGTGTGTGTGTGTGTGAAGTATATATATATATACGTATATATATATATATATATATATAACCGTTTGCCCATTTTATGCTAAAGAACGTACTACAGATATATTTACAACTGTGCGTATTATCACATCTGGCAGGAACACTCACAGCGGAACAGAAGGCGACCCAGCGAGCGGCAGCAGCGGAGATGGTGTACGGAACCAAGACCCAACCACAACAAGACACGCCTACACATACAAGCACACACCAGCAGCAACATACACAACAAGCACCCCATGCACAACCACAAGCACAACCACAAGCACACACATCCGAGGATGGACCCACACACACACAGGCAGGTATACAAGCACAGCCACAACCTGTGAAACGGCCCGAGATACAATGTCACATGCGCACTCAGCTGCCCACATGCACGTTCCTCTTTGCGGATAGGCAGGTGGTGGTAGACCATGAAACCCGCAGAGTGTGGGCCATGGCGCTGTGTCGAAGTTCGGAACCTGAGACGGTGGCTGAGGCAGACGCATGGTTTGGGCGTACGAGGAATACACTGTTGGATCTATGCGAGCGATGTGATAGTGGCACAGAGGTGTATGGCGAGAGGGGGGCGCGGCGGAGGAGGAGTGCAGGTGTGTACCAATGGTATACGTCCATATATTTTGGGTTTTAGTATATATATATATGTATGTATATATATATGTGTGTATGTATATATATATGTACATGTTTATATATATATATATATGTGTGTGTGTGTGTGTGTGCATTTATTTGTATTATATATATGTGTGTGTGTGTGTGTGTGTGTATCTATGTATTGTATATGTGTATGTACTAGGCTTGAGATTGCGTAAGTGCGAATTATATCATGGAATTTAGTGTGTATTGTGTCTGTTTATGTAGGTTCCTGTGCCTGACTTGTACATTATTCACATTTGTCTGAGTTAGAGATGTTATCTCAACGCTATCAGCATGCGCGTACCGTCGGTCGGGCCTGTCTGTGCATCTGTGTATATATCAAAGGACGCCTTCAAACTCTTTTTAAACCCTCTGTAATCTCCGTTCGTTTTAACTTATCTATAGACAGCCGCAACAGAAGAGGTACCGACACACCAACCAACACACATCTGGATCACCAACGCACACACATACATGTACCCGAGTTGACCGAACCGAAGGACTCCGCAAGGTCACAGAATACGACATTGTCCAATAATACGACCCACGAGTCACACAGCACCGGTAAAATGTCGGATAATACGACGAATAATACGACCCACGTGGGTCTGAGACATGGCCGAGAGAAGTACTACGCAAACATAGCCGCGGCGCTGCGCCTGATGGGTGAGGGTGAAACATACGAAGTGTGTCTGACCACTCAGCTGAAGGTACCCACGGACGGGCCAGTGAATCCACTTGCGTTGCATCAGCATTTGCGGTACGTGCACAGTGTTTGAACACGGTACGTTGCCATGACAACCATTACTTCCCCGCGCACTGTCAGTGAGATCAACATACTTGTGCCCAGTGTATGCCATCGGATTGGACACTTGACACTGGTATATATATATATATATATATGTGTGTGTGTGTCTGTGTCTGTGTCTGTGTCTGTATGTATGTATGTCTGTGTGGGGGGGGGGTGTATAATGTATATATATATATATATATATATGCATGTATGCATATATATTATAATATATATATAAATATATATATATATATATATATGCATGTATGCATATATATTATAATATATATATATATATATATATATGCGTGGGGGGGTGGGTGTGTGTGTCACATACTGTAGTAGCATGTATGTATGGAGTGGCTTTGGCAAATGTCTGAGCGTATGAGGATGTATTTCAAGTCAGCGAGTCGGTTCTTCGCAGTATATGCCTAATCCCTAAACCCCTAAACCCCTATCCTTTCGTATATGCCGTATCCTTTGTCCTATCTCACATACAATCTGCAAAGTCAAAGCCCCTGTGTGCGCACCTCCTACCGTGTGCACTGTCTCATGACTACCGCTCGTCTGTCCCTGCCGTCACCCGCCCAACCCCAACCCAACCCTCGCTACTTCAGCGCGTTATTCTATACATAAACTTCGGCCCGTTCTAAAAATAGTCCTGCGTTTACCTACCAAATGTTCGGTACTCCCAGGACACACAACCCAGCGCCGTATGCGTGCCTGTTCCGCTTTGGCTGTGACCAGTCCATCGTAGGCTCATCACCAGAGAAGTTCCTGACGGTCGACCGCAACGGAAGCGTTGAGTCCAAGCCCATCAAAGGCACCCGGCGCAGGGGGTAGGTGCAGCACACGTGGCCGTGTATAGTAGGCGTGTCTGTGTATAGTAGGCGTGTCTGATCGATATTGTCAATTCAATTAACTCAATCTACGCAATGGCGACTAGGCTGCTCTCGTTAGTCGCCGTTGAGCCGATTAAGTGGGTTGGATTCACAATATGGTGTACAACCAATTTGGCTCCTTCATCTAATCTAAGCTACACTCTTTAATACTATCGTTCACGCTATCATCAGAAATTAATTGTTTGATGGAAGCATCACGTGATTGAACGTTGAGTTCAACCACGTGGACCTTGCCATCGATTGCGATTTTAACCATTTTGATTAACGATTTGCGTTTATTTCTTAGTACCACTTGTAATTATCAAATCACTGATAGATCAGAACCTTGTTGATATCTCAAAAGCTTTGTTGATACACAATATATCTATCGAGTGATTCCTATCCCTACACACTGATATTGTATATAGGCTTCTTTATAGTATTATTTATTTGTTTGTTTGTACACTGATATTTTCTTTATTCCGTTATTTATTTGTTTGCTTGTTTATTCATTTATTTGTTTGTTGTTCTTTCTTGGCTACTATCCTATGAGTGTCATGTGCCAAACCGATGAACTTTGTAATTAGAAACTGTGTGCCTTGCAACCGAATACGCTGATCCGTTCGGGAATTTTTGACCTGACTGTACGTTCGTTGGTTTCCAGAATCACTCCGGAGGAGGATTTCGAGCTGGTCAAAGACTTAGCGACGGACCCAAAAGACTTTGCGGAGAATCTGATGATAGTGGACCTCATCCGCAATGATTTGGGACAGGTATGTACATACACCCTCTATTGTTTGTCATCCTGTGTCAGAAACACGCGTGTGTGGTTGTGGTACGTACGTACACGCTTTATTGTTTGTTATCCCATGTCAGAAACATGCATGTGTGGTTGTGGTACGTACGTACACGCTCTATTGTTTGTCATCCCGGGTCAGAAACACGCGTGTGTGGTTGTTGGGCAAACACGTGGGTGAGCTGGGGCTTTCCATGCCTGTTCGCCTGTCTTTCTCCCGTGTTTTCTGTTGTCGTATGTGGTGGGTCTGTGTGCCGCTCAGCGTTCACATAATATATTTACAAGTCAGGCATCGTGGTTGGTCATGCAATTTCTGCAGGCAAGTTGGTCATTCTCGGCGTTCTGTTTCTTCGTTATCCATAGTAGGAATAGTCATTCAGTCATTATGTTTCTTATTTGTTTTATATTAGCAATAGTCAGGCACATCATTATATTTCTCTTGTGTCAATGGTAAAAATATTCATTCAATCATTATGTTTCTTATTTGTTTTATAGTAGCAATAGTCAGGCACTTCATTTTATTTCTCTTGTGTCAATGGTAAAAATAGTCATTTAACCATTATGTTTCTTGTTTGTTTTATAGTAGCAACAGTCAGGCTCATCATATTATTTCTCTTGTGTCAATGTTAAGCATAGTCATTTAATCATTCTAATTCTCTGATAGTCATCTAAACGTTTTATTTCTCTGATAGGGATAGTACTATTAATTTCAATTTGAGGTAAATTTTTATGTATAAATGCGCATCCTCTGACAGTCATCTGATCATCTTTTCTCTCTGATATTCATTTAACCATTCTGTTTCTTCTGTATCAATGTTAGGTGTGTGTACCGTCCAGCGTGCACGTGCCTAAGCTGATGCACATTGAGACATACGCCACAGTACATCAGTTGGTCACTACAGTCAGAGGCGAACTCAGAGACGGTGTGGGCGCCCTGGACTGTCTACGCGAATGGTATGAGTGTCTTAGTAACTAAACCTAAACCCTTGGTTAGAACCTTGCCTATATATATCTAATGAGTGTTTGTATTTTAAGTTGTTTTATATAGAGGTGTGGGTAGCCCTGTATATCAGGCCAGGTGAAGTAGAGTACCACATGCCTGTCAGATGGATTTCGTAATGGACTTCATCCTCCAATATACCTCGCAGCAACACAAATAGATATATGAGTAGCAAGTGACGCCTTTCCATTCATTCATTGGGCAATTCATCCCGGATTTTGTGGAGACAATCATAAATTGGAACGGTACACTGTTGTGTATTGTGGTCAGCTTTAGTTGGCTCTGTTGACTAGTTGTACAACTTGTTATCAGCAATACACAACCGATGCTGTACTGACACCTGCACATACACGCACATACACACACACACACACACACCTGCCTGCCGAAAATAATAGATACACATACACGTGCACAAACGTTCGCAAGATATTGAAAATCGATCCTCCCAAGCCTCTAACATCCGTCACACTCGCCATCCGTGCGGGTAGTCTGCATCATCCAACCTTGCAACCGATTCCCGTTAAGTTTATTATAGCCTTTCCCCCCCCCCCCCCCCTCCCTATTCAGCCTTGCGATCCTTTCGTTTAACGTATCCATGTCCTCCCATCCAATCCAGCTTCCCCCCAGGCAGCATGACGGGTGCCCCAAAACACCGCACCGTTCAACTGCTGGAGCATTTGGAAGGAGCTCCGCGAGGCGTGTACTCTGGCGCCATGGGCTATGTGTCTACCAATGGGAGTGCCGATATGTGCGTGACCATACGCACCGTCACCATGAGCGGAGAGGGGCTTACTATAGGTTTGTTTATTTGCACGGTGTGATGTCTAGCTGCGGTTGTATGTGATTGTATGGAATTGCGTGCTATCTTTCACGTCACAAGCTTCGTGTCTGTTCGTGGATGTATATAAATCAATCATGCAGGTCAGTTAAGCGATTGTATCGAACTCTGGCTGTTTATATATCTAAATTTAAGCTGACAGCACTATATGGCTTAATATTCGCATTGTAATAGGCGAATAGGCGAGCAACTGAAGTATATATGTCAACACAGCTGTCACAATACCTTGCAGTATATATTGCCGGTTCAATATTTGTCTGTCTGAGTGACAAATACGTGTAGCGGGATGTCGGATTCTGTATTGCCTGCTATATAAGATATTGTGTACGTTTAACAGAAACCACCTATGATATACTACAATTTGGAATCATATTTGGACTTTTTTTAGGATTTTCTAAGTTCCCAAACACTACGTCATATATTGAGATATACACATAAATAGTGTTGCTATAGTGTATACTATAGTATCTGTGGTATCTAATGTTGATCTTTCTGTCTGGGTATCCCATGCAATCGTATATTGTCTCAGTGAAGAGTTTACAACTTTTCTGTATTCTGTACTGGCAATTCTTACCTGTGCGCGTTTGCATGGATGACCTCTCGAAGCTTGTATTACCATTGCCCTAATTCGCCCCTTCGTCTCCACCAAATGCACACACCTTTGTTGCTACAGCATGTCATGTTTGTATTTCTTTTTCTGGCTTTTCTCCTCAGGCGCTGGAGGTGCTATAGTTGCGATGAGTGATGCCAGTGACGAGTTTGATGAGATGTTGCTCAAAGCGAAGGCACCAATCAGATCAATACTATGTAGTATGGGGCGCGCTAACCAATGGGAAGCCAGAGAATTGGCGGGATTATAAGTAGATTGTGTACTCTGACGCTACACTTAGTGCGTAGTACGTGCAAGTTTGCAAAGAAGTTAGTGAGTGAAATACACTCTATAGTTTTGCTATTATTAGAAACTGGTACATGGGGGGGGACTACTGCGGCAGGGGATCTGGTGATATCCTTATGACCCCCCAACACCAGGCCTAGAATATAAGTTTTAATAAAAGATTACTAAAAAGTAGGTTAATTAACGATTATTAGAAAAAAGAGAAAATAACTGATTACTAGAAAAAGGTTATTCAATATCAACGATTACTAAAAATATGTTAATAAACGATCACTAGAAAATACGTTGATAAGAACCACTCCAACGAATATGAAACCTGATGTGCATGGAGATATAAAATTTACCCAAATTGAAATAAATATCATTATCCCTGTAAAAGTTAAACAACGACTACTAACAAGTAAATAAACGAATACTAGAAAACAACTGAGTAAGCGATTGCTAGAAAATAAGTTAATAAACAAATACTAGGAAGAAAAAAATTAAAGAACGATTAGTAAAAATAAGTTAAAAAAGCGAAAGCTAGCAAAAAGGAATTACTATTTTTTGAGCGAAGCGAGCAACTATTGATTAATTCAAGAGGGGCGAAGGGAGGAAAAGGCAGGGCCTTTTGGAATGCGTATCATTCCATATGCAATAACTGCTTCCATAGGAACTAATAGCTGTCGTTTGGTACTCTGCATGTGTACATCATAGCATCCAATCAGTATACCAACTTTTACTTCACATATCAACCTGTGCCATCATATACAATAAGAAACATACTCAAAATTCTCACATATTCCACATTTTGAGTTTTTTTTACCGTATTCTATCATGGCACCATTGATGACGCCTGTGCTAGCTCTCTCCCTGACGTTGGTTGACAAGTATGGGGAGTCTCAAGTGGATTCCTTAGACATACGCGAACCATTTCAAAGCGCAGACAGCGATGAAGATAAAAGAAACTATCGCCGGCGCACTACACACTGATGCCCCACTCGAAATTATTTTTAACAATATGTTCCCCGAAAGTGCGGATACGGGTGAAGCCCTGCCGGAACCAGTAAAAGTGTGGCGTTACCTTAAGGACGTATCTCCTTTCAGGAATATATTGTCAAAATCCAAGAATCACGAATATCACTGGGAATTTTGGCAACTATTCTGTGATGTACTACGTCACAACTCAAGAAACCTTTGGTATTGCCCCTCTGCGTCATTTATTTGACGAGGAGTACCTTAAGGCTCTGGAAATCAGATTGCAAGATGTACTAGGGCCAAAAAACAATGACCACATATACACAGCAAGGGCGCAAGGGTTACCCTGTGTTCTCTACCGAAACATGAAACATGAGTGGATACTGTACGAAAAACTCAGTAGGGAGGTGGAATCTTATTCGGTTACTAAAGCTGAGAAGAGCCGCATAATTATACATGAATGGAACAAAAAGACGGTCATAAGATCTTCCTTAAACTACCGACTATTCATTTTGATACGGCACGCGCTCAGCTTGTGCGACGTACCGAGCGCTATAACACTACCGCGGAATCACATCGCGATGTTCGTCATCTTCACCCCCAGCTGCGAGATGGCGAAAGTGTATCTGCCCGTGTCACTGTAGACATATATACTGCAGAGGAGCAGAACTAAAAGGCCGAAGTCGACCGCTTGCCTCCTGAGCCTGAGCAAACGTTGGTGATACAGGAGCAGCCATCTTGCCACCGATGATGAATGCTAATACTCAATATATTTATAAACCACAATCTATGAAATAATATGGGCATCAATCTGTGGATACTAAAAAACATTATCATCGTCGCACCCATTGTTGAAACATATGTTATGCAAGAAGTAGATTTCTTATTATAATGTATATTATTGATATAATATAGTAACTGCGATGCGCTCTTAAAATATTCCGAGAATTATTCGGCAAAAATATAAACGGTATCCTATTTTGGATCCCTAGGTTTTAGGGGTTGAGTCTCATAAATTCATTTCAACACTCTCCTGAAATTTTGGAAACGAAAAAGACAGTGTGTATACTGTATGAAGTAAATGTGCTATGTGCATAGTGACATAGATGATATATAAGAAATCTCCTCAAACTGTATTGGGGCTGAAATAAGTAAGAATAAAAATAAGGGAGCTGGAGTGGCTGGACAATGGGCTGGCGAGTAGGTGATAAATTTTGGGGCGTCAGGGCTGAAGTAGGACCGAGGGAAATATTAAAATTTCGAGGGGCGATCTCATTGGGCGGACACATTGAAATTGTGTTGGAGCAGGTGATTTCATTTGGCGCAGATGGCGAATCGGAGAAATGGTGGTGGCTGAGACTCAGGAGGTTGGGGAGGAGATGACGGGGTGGGCGACTGGAAAATAGTGTGCATTTCTGTGGTGGCCGACTAGTCCGCTACTGTACACGTTGTGTGTGTTTATTAACAGGTGTGTGTGTGTAGAATAGTGTGGCGGTAGTGTGGCTAAGGCGTGTGGGTTGCTGACGTGTGTGTGTTGCTGACGTGTGTGTGACGAGTGCTGGCGTATGAGTCGTTGAGATGTTCGTGTGCCGTGTGGCAAGTGGGATCTCTGGAATAGAAATAGGAGACGATGATGGCGTTTGGACCGCAGAAGATCTCTTGGAAGGGCATCGAAGTAGAAAAGATGATGAATCTCTCCTGAAGATATGTACTGTATTGTAATGTTAGGAGATGTAACGTAGATAGCAGACCCGATATATCGTGTTGGTGACGTGTTTGTGGCTGTCATCGGATGTGTGTGTAATCGCGGCAACAAGGATGGGTTGCTCAGGATCAGAGATAGCAGTGACTGTGTTGGATGTGTGCTTGAAGTGGGCGGGTCGGGGGAGGTTGTTGGTAGGGGTGTCGGCGATGTTGTCAGCTGTGATGTCGTATTTCTTGGCAATAACGCCTTGATCTTGAAGGATATCTACGCGTATAAGCTGGATGGACGTGGCACTATTGGTGATCACGTGGACTGCGGACTGGTTGTCGCAATAGAGGGTGGTGGTAGCATCCGGTGTGAATCCCAGTTCGGTGAGGAAGTTATGGAGCCATTGGATGTGTTTGGCGGCTTCTTTTAAGCACTCAGCTTCGGCAGTACTTGTGCTATCAATTTTCTATCGGTTGCTTTTCCATATGACAGGTGCGTTACAAACGCGGATTACGTAGCCTGTTGTAGAACGCTGGGTGATAAGACAGTTAGCATAGTCAGAGTCGGCGTAAGCGTCTGTGGTTAGCGGTTGCGGGGTTTTGCTGTATGCGAGGCCGAGGTTATGATTAGTATTAAGGTAGCGGAAGACTCGGCAGGCGGCAAGCCAGTGGGCTTCGCTGAGGTCGGCGAGGAACCGGGAGAGGTTGTTCACAGCAAACGTAATGTCAATGCGTGTGAGGATTGATAGGTAGAGTAGTGTGCCAATAATTTCCGGTAGGGACAGGTGTGGGGTGTGCCGGTTTGGACTTCAAGGGGTGCGGTGGACAACGGCGTGTTGACGGAGTGGCTTGTGGGTATATCAAACTGCTCAAGGGCCTCGTTGATATCGGATGTTTGCACAATGTTGATGGAGAGGATGTTGGTGGCGATACGGCAATCAAGGAGCCATGTGGGTTCGCCAAGGACGAAACATTCGAGATCAGCAAGGAGTTGCTTTTTGAAGTGCGCGGCGTCAGCAGGGCTGAAGCCGTATATAATGAGGTCGTCAACGTAATTGGAGGAGCTTGGACTGAATGAGAGAGAACCATAGTTTCCCTGATTGCTTGAGGCCGTAGAGGGACTTCTTGAGCTCAAGGGCAGTGTCTTTGGCGATGCCGATTTTGTCAGAACCAGCGGATGGCTTCATAAAGATGGGGTGGTCAAGGTCGGCGTGGAGGAAGGCCGTGTTGACGCCCATTTATTCCGTGTGCCGACCTTTGTTTGCAGCAACGACAAGG